CGTTTTAAAGTAAGAAGAAATATACCTAACGTCCTATTGAGTTCAAATAAATAGTTTAACGTATTAAATATTACGAAGGATGTTTTATCAGAAAATATTTGTCATTAAATTGCATTTAATAAAATTAATTGAATTAATTTAATGCTGTTGTTTTTATTTTTTTTTTTATTTTTTTGATGTTAAGAAAATTTATTACAAGTTTATGATACCTTGTTAAATGTTTCACATGAGTGATGTGTTGATTTTTGAAATTCAGTGGAATCATTTCTTTTCTTTTTGTTTTTTAATCAAATTAATTAAATGAATAAATTAATAAATAAAAATAAAAATTTATTTTATTACACTAAACAAAAATATACAATTAATTTAACAAATAAAACAAAATAAAGTGTTGCTACTATTTGTTTTATGTTAAGAAAATTTATTACAAGTTTACAATACCTTGTTAAATGTTTCACATAAGTGGTGTGTTGTTTTTGAAACACATTACAATCATTTCTTTTCTTTTTCTTCATCTAAATATTAAAATACGAAGAAACATTTAAACTCGAACTACGATGTTCAATCATTTCGAAAGACAACTTTTACGCAAATGTTCTAATTTTGTTTCTAAAATTTATTGTATTATTTCTTTTATTATTATCCTTACTGGGGAAGGGAAAGGGGAAAGGTGGTAAACACAACAGGTATCTGATACATCAGCAGCATTCGCTATTGGCAACGTTCCAAGTTGTTAAAAGAACGGCCTTGAAAATAAACAAAAAGTGTTAAAGATCCGTAATACTTCTAACTTGAAATATTTCCAAGAAAATAACAAACAAACAAAAATAGACATCGTTTGTAAGCATAAAATAAGGAAAATAAAATCAAAACCTGTAGAAGAAGAAGAAGAAGAAGAAAAATATATTCGTGGATCTTTAAAATTAGCGTTTAGAAACTAATGAACGGAAGAAGGAGGATAGGAATAAAGAAGAAAAGAAGAAAAAGAAAAATAGAACCGAAGATAAAACACCGATGATTGTGAAAGATTGCGAAAAAAAAAATTAAGAGGGTGGTAGAGGGTAGAAAATGAAGGGAGGTGTGGGAGGAAATTAAACGAAAACAAGCTGATAAGACAACTTCCGTTGACTATCTAGCAACTACTCTGTGTGTTTCTTTTTTTATTTTACACAAAGTTTATTTCTTTTACTCTTTTATCTTTTTTTCAACAAAAACAAACAAAAATAAAATAGGAATAAGGAAGAACACAGAATTGTTTAAAAAATATTATACGTATATTTAATATATTGTTTATTATTATATTATTTATATTAATATTATTATTAGTATTATTATTATATATATGTAGTATTATTATACACATTATTAATATTATTATATAGTATATATTTATATTATATTATTATTATTATTATTATTATTATTATTATTATTTGAATTATTTTAAATGAATATATATTTAATTTAAAATTAAATTACAAACTAGTATTAACCATAAACCTTTGTTATTGATTGTGCTATAAATTAATAAATAAAAAAATAAACAATAATTTTATTTAATCAATTGATTCTTAAATAAATTGATTCTCTTGATCATTCTGTGTTTTTTATTTAATTTTATTTGTTTTTTTTTTTTTCTTATTATTTGTTCTATTTACGAAATAGGTGGAGAGAAAACGATTCGATTATTTTTCCGTGTTCATTTTTTTATTTTTATTTTTTATTTTCTATTTTATCTCAAAGAATCTTCTATTTATTAGAAAAGGATTAAAGTAGTAAAAAGGCGAGAGAAAGAAAGAGAGAGAGAGAGAGAGAAAGGAAAATACAATTGAGTTAGTCGACTGATAGTTCTGCTGTTCTATCAGAGAAACGAACGAACCCTTCGTTACTGATGATTGTAACTAATTTCCTTTAGCAGGACGGTAGTAAATCGAATGAATTTATCTGGAAACTCGAAGGGAAGCTAAAAGATGGCGAAGATACCAGATTAACGTTGCTACAATCATTTGTATACGTTTATATTAGATTTTACTACATGATATTATATTCACCATAATTTTCAACATTTTCTATATATATATATATGTTTCTTTTCTTTTTTTAAATATAACATTACATTAAATATTGTTTCTAAACACATAAATATATTACAGTAATTAATTAAAAACACGAATCAAGTATTATATTAAGTTGTTCGGAAAGTCGTTTCATTTTTTGCTAACGCAATAATGGCATTAGTTGATGCAAACCGACAAATAGTAACACATGAGTTTGATGAGAGGTTAAATTTATCAAATTCAACTATTTATGACCACTTGAAAGGTTTAGGTTTAACCTCGAAGTAAAAATTGTCTTCATTTTTACAAAAGAAAAACGAAACTTTCGACTTTCCGAATCACCTAATAGAATAACACACAAACACAGTAGTCATTTTTTTTAATTACAACATTGCATTAAAATTATCCCCAAAAAATTAAATAATGAAGCAATTAATTAAACAAGAGAATCAAGTATTTTATGATAATACTTAAACACAATATACTCATTGTTTTAATTAAAATATTGCATGAAAATCATCCGCAAAAAATTAAATAATGAAGCAATTAATTAAACAAGATAATCAAGTATTTTATGATAATACTTAAACACAATACTCATTGTTTTAATTATAATATTACATGAAAATCATCCGCAAAAAATAAAATAATGAAGCAATTATATTAAATACGCGAATTAAGTATTATATTATAATACACAAATATGAATACTTATAAGAACTGATATAATAATAAGTTGTATAAAAAAACTTTATCTAGGGTAAAACGATACAATTCAACCTAAAGAAAACATTCTGCAATATAAAAAAAGGATCGTTTCCAAGTATTTTTTTATTCTTGTTTGAAATAAAAAAAGAATAAAAAACAATATTATAAAACAATGAGTTGAATAGTTTTCGAGTTACTTTTTCTTTTCCCCAGATAAAACTCGTGCATTTAATGTAGTATAAAAAATACTTGAGAACACCTATGACACTTTGTTTTGTTACTTATGTTATTTTTTCTTTTTCCTTTTTCTTTTCACACTGTACATTTAAAACACTTTCATGTATATAATTCTTTGAAAATATTTGACTTGTTTGAAAATTCTGAAAATCAAATAAATTATTCATACACTTTCCATTCTTATATATGTAATTATAATGATGAATAGAATTTGTGATTGATTTAAAAGTGAAGTGAAAGATCATCAACAGGTCTTCGAATCAGTGAAAATAGTCATTGGCAAAATTCCAAAGAAGTGAGTTCACGAACGACGTGTCAGTTTCGACATCGGGCCACAGGTGCGCCAAACGAGCAAAACAACGGATGCAGAAGGTTGCAACAGCAAGAAGAGAGAGATCTTTTATCGAAGGGTAGCATGGTGAAATAAAAAAAGGAAAAGAAACAAAAAGGAACATTCGTGAAACGATCGAGAAGAAAAAAGAAAAGAAAAAGTGAAGGAAACAAGACATCAAAGTGGTTTAAATACCCTCAAGGAAAATACATCCTTTCTCTTTTTATTTCTTGCATATTTAACACGCATTATCGATAATATTAAAAGAAGAAAAATATTCATTGCAAACGTTGAGATTTCATTTCTGTTTTGTTCAATTCACTTACATTTTTCACTGATGTCATTTAATTTAATTTTATTTATTTTTTTAAATTTGTTATTCACATATTTCATGAAAATAAATTATTTTCTTCCTTTTGCACTCGTTTTCATTGGATAAATCACTTTCGACATTTTTCTTATTTAGTTTTTGTTGCTGTTGTYGTTGTTGTATTTTTACTACTTGTACTTTTAGATTAATTTTATAATTTTTATAATATTTTTATCATTTTTGTACTCTTTTACTATTCATATTTTTATAATAATTATAAAAACGTGAAGTTGTTATTCTAATATTAATTGACTGTTAAAACTTTGAAGCTCGGAATTTCTTCAGCACTTTGATTTTACTGCATCATAACAAACTACTTAAATAAAATTTTTCTTTTTTAAAGATTGTGCGAATAATACAAAAATATTTACATATATTAAAAATAATAAATTGTGTGTGTGTGTGTGTCAGGGCTTTTGTAAAGTAATAAATATATTGTTTAGTTTTGAAATGTAAAACAAAACTTTGAAGCTTCTCGTTAGCTTCTTCTATAAATTTCATTATCAACTAATTCATTGAACAACGATGGTATACTTAAAAACTTTTTGATAATTAAAAAAACAAAAAATAAAGACAGAGAAAAAAAAATATGTTAACAAATTTGTCAATTAATTTATCGCGTTTTAATTTTGATTTTAACTGAAGTAAAAGTTTGAAACTTTCGTATCTTTTTTCTTTTCTTCGAATGTCATGAATTATCTGGATTTGTCGAAAAGCAAACAAGGATGTTAAATCAGGATTGAACTAACTCGAAAAATTTGACTCGAAGGTGAGAGAAAGAATCGTCATCAACAGGTATCCACAATCCGGATTCAGTTTCTCGTTCAAGTCCAATAAGAAAATGGTATTGGTGTGGTGGTAAAACTGCACTTTTCACAAATCTTACAATCTAATCGACAATCGATAGAAAAACGACAAGAAAAGGAAAGACCAACGAACAAGTAAACAAAAAATACGCTTACAAGTGTTATATAGTGTTCTAAAAAAAAAAAAGTATTTAATTCTAACATAAATATAAAACAAATTAAAAATTGTTTGAAAAAGAAACAAATGATTTACAATCCCTACAAAACAAAAGAAAGAAAAAGAAGAAGATTAATAAGAAATAAAAAAAATATTATTTAATTCTAGCATAAATATAAAACAAAATAAAAATTATTTGAAA